TAAAAATCTTTATTGAACTGTAGTATAAAATTAATATAACAAGAAGTACATTTTGAGTGAGTTTAATATTGTACTTATTTTCTCATTTTGCTTGATGAAGAGTCCAAACAAAGCCACAGCACCTACAAGCACTACAAGCATCACACAGCAGCCTTATATTGAATGATTCACTTTATTCCTCACTGAATGAAGTCTTACTCTGAATGAATGATTTAATGTCTTATTCTAAAGACAGTAACTTACCGCCACCTACTGGCTGTTTTACTTTCATATTGTTGTTATGTATAACTTTATGTATTTGAAACATTAATATGATAGTGTTAGGCAATTATATATGTAGATATGCAAATAAACACAACACGCAAATAAATCATTGTGCATATCAAATCAACCTGGCCTCTGTAACTGTCTACTCTGTAGCACTATCGTTTTCAATGCAAAAACATTACATTAATTAAAAATTAATTTACAGATTTACTCATTTAACGTTAACGGGTCGCCAGGTAGGCGTACAGCAGTGACAGACAGACGCATATAACGGTGTCCTGTATGGAAAGATGTTTCCCAGCCGACAGTTGTCCATTTTCACCTGTACAAGTGAACACAGAACACTGAGCATCAACAGTAATGAGGCACGTTGGAGTGACGTCACCGCCCCTCTTCATCTGATTGGCTGAGGAGGAGCTGTCAATCTAGAACTAGTGGACCAATGATGACGCTTAAGCCCGCCCTGATTTGCATGAAACTCTAACCGCAACATTTGGAAGAAGAAGCGCAGAACATGGAAACAAGAGCGAAGGAAAAGCAGCATAAGCATACAACAAATAAACACATGAGCAGAAAATGTCTGAGAGCACAAAAAACAGAGAAATATAACCGAGGAAAACATGATTCTGTGTGCAAGTCAGACAAATTTGAATTAATATTTCAATTTTGTGCAATATGATTTTAAACGTGTTTAAATTGATTAATGCTTATTATTTTTACAAATGCATTATACATTTTTTGATTTACGCTTATTATTTTTCTATCCGTGACCATTGTTTGCTATACTGAAAACTTTGCTTTCAGTTTTAAATCTTGTGCAATATATTTTTACTTGCGTTTTTAAATTTTGTTTTCATGCTTGTTATTTATTTTTTTTTATCCATGACTGCAATACTTTAGGCGGGAATCTGATCCCATAGGTGCGACTCTAAAAAGACCAGGGCTGTGTTCAGCCCCGACAAAACAGAGCAAAACGTGTTTTAAACGGAAACGGTGGTGCGCTAGAAAAGTTTATGAAAGTGTCACTCCACAATACAATAGCAAAATATATAAATATGTATAGTATTTTTATGTTTCATTAATCAGTGTCTAGCACACCTTCCTGAGGAAAGTATATGGACCAGAAGACATTGCAATTACTAAATTATGTTTAGACAGACTTAAAGAAGTTCCAGATCTATACTTGTGCTCTTATTTCAGTTATTTTGCCTTTAATGTAAATAAACATGTGCAAACAATATACTTGCTCTTGTGAATTTATTTGGATGTTAATTACATTGTGCAAGCTGTCTCTTTAATACCGCGTGGTTTATATACATGCTGCTGCTGATTGGCTGACATGTTTGACACACCCACCAAACAAGAGAAAACGCATCTCAAACCCGTTGCACACCGTTTCCAGGAAACATGTCGTTCAAACCGGAAACCGTAGCAAAACGTTGCGCACCGGTTTGATCTTGAACGTGCCCCTGGATCGCGTGTGCTGCCTGCGGCGCTGTCTCCCGCCAGCAGGGGGCGCTGTGTCGCGCGGCGCTCCCTCGCGGTCGGTGATGACGTGTATGCGCTCACGCGTCCCGGAAGTGAAGGTGTAGCTGGAAAGAGTTTGGAAACAAACTGACAGTCCTTTGACGGACAGATTCATCGTTGGTGTGATGAGGAGGATGAGGATGATGACGATGAAGAGTCTGGCGAGCGTGATGATCTTCATCCTGACAGTGTCGGAGAGCGGCGCGCGGATCCACCAGCTCAAACTCAAGGTCTGTACTCGTTATTTACACAGAATCAGCTCCTTCAGCACATCTTTTCAGTCATTCAACTAGCTTCAACTGTTCTCATTTACTTCACTTATGTAATGACTTATTCATAAACTGATTAATTTATGATGTCTGTTCTTCTTAAACGTTATGAGCGCTTATGACACGCTGAAGGACTCTGTTTTGTGTCTGTCAGAATGAAACGCGGTTTCTTGTCCATTTGAACTCGTTCGGTTATTTTGCCAACGGCACTCTGGACGTCAGTCTTGTGTCTCTGAATCTGCCCCAGGAGAAGAGTGACTCTGGAAAAGTGAGTGTGTGTGTGTGCTTGTGAGTGTGAGTGTGAGTGTGTGTGTGTGTGTG